TTCTGGGCTCTGGGGGGGATGAGAAACCTTCTGGGCTCTGGAGAGGGATGAGAAGCTCTGTGGAGGGATGAGAACCTTCTGGGCTCTGGGGAGGGTTGAGAACCTTCTGGGTCTGGAGACGGATGAGAACCTTCTGGGCTCTGGGGAGGGGTGAGAACCTTCTGGGTCTGGAGAGGATTGAGAACCTTCTGGGCTCTGGGGAGGAATGAGAACCTTCTGGGCTCTGGAGAGGGATGAGAACCTTCTGGGCTCTGGGGAGGGTTGAGAATCTTCTGGGCCTTGCAGAGGAATGAGAACCTTCTGGGCTCTGGGGAGGGATGAGAACCTTCTGGGCTCTGGAGGGGGATGAGAAACCTTCTGGGTCTGGAGAGGGATGAGAACCTTCTGGGCTCTGGGGAGGATTGAGAACCTTCTGGGCCTTGGAGAGGAATGAGAACCTGGGCTCTGGGGAGGGATGAGAACCTCTGGCTCTGTGGAGGGATGAGAACCTTCTGGGCTCTGGGGAGGAGTGAGAACCTTCTGGGCTCTGGGGAGGGATGGGAACCTTCTGGGCTCTGGGGGGGGATTGAGAACCTTCTGGGCTCTGGAGGGGGCTGGATTTGTGTGAAAAGGAACAACCTGTCCTGCCTGGACTCAGAGGAGTCTTGGCACAGAATGAAGGGAAGCTCCTTCAGCTCAGAGGTTGGATTTGATGATCTTGGAGGTCTTTCCCAACCTGAAGGATTCTGTGTTTCTGTCCCCAGTCTGTGGTGATGGTTTGCATTTGTCTGTGTTACAGCAGGTCAGTGGTTAAACCAGCCTGGTGTCTGTATTCTCAGGGAGGAGCACTCAGAGGAAATGGATTTTTGAGTTACACTTACTTGTAAAACTTAACCTGATACATCTGATTTTCATCATGCAGCAGTAGTGTATCTGCACTGGGTAAAGCGTCCAGATTTTCTGGTTTAGGGTAACTTTTGGTAATCAGGAGACAGTAGTGGCCTAGCTGGGGTTTGATGTCTGGTGGTGCCTTGCAGGGAGGAGAACCTGATCCCCTACTCACCAGATGTGCAGATCCACGCTGAGAGGTTCATCAACTACAACCAGACCATCTCCAGGATGAGGGGCATTTACACAGGCCCCTCTGGCCTCGAGTCCACCTGCTTGGTGAGTGCAGGGGGAGGGAAGGTGCAATTTGGGGGTGATCTGAATTCTGTAACTCACATATAACCATCACTCCTTCCTGTTCTGTCACCCTGAGGGGATCATTTGGGGTTTTATGCTCCAAGCTGCACCCCCAGCTCTTGCTCTCCCCCCTGCAGGTTGTGGCCTATGGGCTGGACATCTTCCAGACCCGGGTGTACCCCTCCAAGCAGTTTGATGTGCTCAAGGATGACTATGACTACGTGCTCATCAGCAGTGTCCTCTTTGGGCTGGTCTTTGCCACCATGATCACCAAGAGACTGGCCCAGGTGAAGCTGCTCAACAGGGCCTGGCGCTGAGGGAGGGATCCCAGCCCCCCCAGGGATGGACCCACAGGCCTCTGCTCCACTGGGCTGGAAGAGATTTGTGAGGAAAAGAGATTTGTGAGGAAAAGCTGCTGGAGGAACGAAACCCGCGCTGCCCACGTGTGTCCTGCGAGAAGAAACGGAAGAGATGAAAAACAGAGACTTTTTAAATCTGGTCTGACTGAAAAAGGAGCTCCCAAACCTCCCTGAAAGCCCCTAAATCAGTGTCTCCCTGGTGTTGGTGAAGAGAACCCTGAGGATGTGTGTCCTGCTCATTCTCAGCTCTCCCTTGCTGCCAGCTGTGCCCCACATCTGGCAGAGAGAGGAGGGTTGTTTGTGCCAGCTGTGCC